CCGCGCACCCCCCGTCTCCATCCCTCGTGCCCCTCGCTCCTGTCCCGGCTCCCTCCTTCCCGCCCGGCTCCCCTCGCCCCTGACCCAGCCCCGCTCCCCCCCCGCGGGGCCTCTGCCCCCGAGCCCCGTCCTTTCCCCCGCCCGCATCCCTGTCGCCCCTGCTCTGACCCTACCCTTGTCCCCACAGCCGCCAAGGCCAAGGGCAAGGGCGCGCCCAAGGAGGCGCTGAAGGGGCCGGAGGTGTGCACGGACCCCACCATGCTCGCCACCCACGCCATGGGGGTCAACTACTTCAAGGAGGGCCCGGAGGTGGCCCTGAAGCCCGACTCCGAGTACCCCGACTGGTGGGTGCTGCCCCGTTCCCCTCCGTGTCCCCACAGAGGTGCCGTCCGAGAGGCACAGGGACAGTGAAGTGCTCTGGGAGGAGGCAACTGCCTCTCTGCAGCCCAGGGACCTTCCTGGGGTCAGGGAGACAGGAATGGGTGCACTGTGGATGTGGGGGTGAGGGATCTGCACATCTTGGTCACTCACGTCCACGGCTGTGTCCTGTCCTTGTCCCTTTTTCCCTCCTTCCTGTAGCCTCATATCCTCTGCATTTGCCCCCAGGCTCTTTAAGATCCACCTTGGGCCCCCCAAGAAGCTGGAGGAGCTGGACCCTGACACGCTCGAGTACTGGAGGCGGCTGCGGAAATACAACACGTGGCAGCGCAACAAGTTGAAGAAGGGCAAGAAGTTTTAGGTGCTGCCAAGCTCAGGGCTGCCCCACGCACCAGCACAGGTGGCACTGGGACCCGCTCCTGCTTTTGGTCGCTTGATGTAAACAGGAAATAAATCTGGGATGAGACTGATATCTATTACAAAGGCTGTGTAAAACTTGGGCTCTTGGCAAGCTTGGTGCAGGTCCCCCCTGTGGCAGGGGCTGAGGCAACACAAATTCTGGGTGTGTTTGCGAAGGCAGAAGCTCAGGTTTTGGCTCGTGGAGGGAGCCCACACCACACACAGGTTGTGCTCCATCACATCTGTACCTCAGTCTGAGGGCTTCACGAGGGGGTGGTATGGGATGCCCCCCCTCACCCTGTTGTCACTGTGTCTCTGGCTGGGGGTCTTGGGGGCTGAGCAGCCTGTGCTCCTGGGGGCAGGAGGACCAGGCTCTGGTGGTGCTGCTGGGCAGCAGGTGAGGTGAGGGGGGACATAGTGGCCCCTTGCTCTGCTTTCCTCCCTTGGCAGCAGGAGCAGTGGTGCTGGGATGCGAGGGCTGGGCTGGGCTGGGTGGTGGAGGCAAGGTCTTCCTCACAGCAGCTGGGCCCTCACTGCCCTGTCCCTGCCTGTCCTCACCTGGCTCCAGCCTGGCAAAGCCCAGCAGCTTCCCCAGCCGTGGTCCTGCCCATATGTTGGTCTCACCTGGCTGAGAGGTGCTCCCGTCACCTTGTTTCACCTCCATCCTGGACTTGCTGCCCTGCAGCTCCTGCCTGGGCTCGAGTTGGGCTGTGGGGACAAACAGCTGCCCACAAGGTCCCCCCACAGCGAGGAGGGGGCGGTGGAGCCCCTGCCCAGCCTGTCAGTGTCCCTGGTGCCCCGTACCCTGCAGCAGGGCTGGGGGCTGTGCTCGGCTCCCTGGGGGGCTGTGGGTGGGTGCCCACATGGGCACCCCGCGGCAGCTGCGCACCCACACGCCCCACAACAGGAAGGAAGGCAGAGGGAAGCAGAAGTGCTGTGCTGCAGCGCGGGGGCCGGGGCAGATTTTGGGCTGAGCCCTCATTTCCTCTGCGTGGGGCTGGGTGCACACCCTCAGAGCTGCCGGGGCTCGTCCGGCTGTACCACGCGGTGAGTGCCCGTCCTGCACCCTGCCCTCCCCTCACCACCTCCAGCGTGTCCAGCCCCCCAAATCCAGCAGAAGGTGAGCAGAGGGAGCACCTGGATCCCTGCCCTCCGTCTCGGAGCCCCCTGCTCGGGTGAGTGTCAGCCAGCTGCCCTGGGCAGCTCAGTCTTGGGGGCAAGTGCTCCTCTGGGGCAGGTTGTTGGGGAGGGACCTGAGGGGAGGAGGAAGGAGCTGTTCCCTGGGTGCTGCCCCTGTCCATGTGATTCATGCCATGCTCCCCTTGTCAAAACCTCTCCCAGGGTCAGGGCAAGCTAAGATGGGTCTCAGCCCCAGGACCCCTGTGTACCCTCCCCTGGCCCTTCCGCAGCCCCTCTTGGTGGCCTGGAAAGGTTTGTGCTGGCTCTGGAGCACAGAGGACTGGTGCCAACAAGGGGGCTGCTGCTGTCCCACTGGGGCCTCTGCCAGGGGGAGAGGGGGCCCTGGGCCCCATTCTCTGTGGTCCCTGAAGGGACAGGGAAGGTGAAAGGGGACATCCCGTCTTTCCAGTTCTGTGGACCCCAATTCCATAAAGTCCCTTTCTTGGGACTGGGTTAAAATGCCCTGGCTCCTTGCCTGAGGCTGGGGGGGTGAGCAGTGTTCCCGGGGCTGCTGTCACAGCTCACGGAGGGAGAGTGTGTGACATTCCTGGCTGGCTGCCGGTGGCCAGATCCAGCAGCACTGCCCAGCTGGTTCCCAGCACCTCCCCAGGCTCCTGCTAGGAGGAGACCTGACACTGGTGAGCTCATGCTGGTGCTCTCCCTGCTGAGGCACACTGTGCCCGGCGGTGTCCAGTGGGACCCTGTCACCCCGTGACTCACTGACGGCTCGTCCCCTCGGTGTCCCCAGCAGGGATGGGGGACTGGAGCATGCCCATCGGCGCCCTGGGCGAGGAGGTGGTGGCCCGGCTGTGTGAGCTCCTGGATAACGCGGGCCGGGGCTGGCGCAAGCTGGCTGAGCTGGCCGGGGCTGAGAAACGCTTCAAGTGCAGGTAGGGCTGGGGGGCATCGCCGGGGGCTGTCCCCGACCAGGTGACAAAACGCCGGTGGGCACAGCCCTGCCGTGGGCCGGGCGAGGGGCGCGTGGGTCCCCAGAGCCATCCCCTGGGCAGGGGACACCGCCGAGAGCCCTGGTGGGGGCCCGCCCGCCCCGGGAGGGAGGGGGCACTGACGGCCGCGGGCGCTCGCAGCGCGGAGGAGCTGGAGATGTGCTCGCTGAAGGTGCTGGAGCCCCGCGGCAGCCCCACGCAGTGCCTGCTGCAGCTCCTGGCCGAGCGCGACTGCACCCTCAAGTACCTGCTGGGCTGCCTGGAGCAGATGGGGCACACAAAGGCCTGCCGGGTCCTCAGTGCCGCCGGTACGGATGGGCAGCGGGAACCGCGGGGCTGGAGGGGGCACCGGGGACGGGGGCTCAGCGGGAGGAAGCGGATGAGGTGGAGGGCAGCTCTTCCTTCTGGGGGCTGTGCTATGGTAGAGGGGTCCTGGGCGGGTGGGATGGATGCAGCAGGGTGAGATAGGATGGGATGTGGTCTGATGGGATGGGGGACAGGCTGAGATGGGGTCAGATAGGATGGGATGAGACAGGTTTGGACAGCATGGGATGGGATGAGATAGGATAGGATGGAGCAGAGCGGGGTGGGATAGATTGGAACAGGATAAAATGGGTGAGGTGGGATGGCACTGAATGTACCAAAGGGACAAGACAGGATGAGATGGTTGGGACAGGACAGAGGATGTGATAGGATGGGCTGGGCTCGGCTGGGCTTGGGCAGCCTGTTGGGGGGGGATGGGAAAGGGTACAATGAGACAGGATAGGATGGGACTGAATGAGATGGGATGGTGTGGAACGGTGGTCTCCTCTCCTGCAGTCCAGGACATGATCCGCATCACGGTGCAGCCGGAGTCACAGGTGGTGGCAGAGGGGACACGAGTGTCCCTGACCTGCTGTGCCACCGGCCCGCCGGGGCTCATGTACCAGTGGTTCTGTGGGAAACGGGAGGTGAGGCCCCACTGTGCCATGTGGAGCAGGGCCCCCGTGCCCTGTCCACAGCGAGGGCACCCACACAGGTAAGAGGGAGCCCCTGACTCCTTGGCCACCTCCTGTCTTGTAGGTGCCTGGAGCCACGTCCCCGGAGCTGGTGATCGACACGGCCGCCCCGCTGGGCCAGCCCGAGTGGTACATCTGCCGGGTGAACTGTGGGGCCACCTTCGCCTTCTCCAGGTGGGCCCACGTCCAGGTGGAGAAGAGCAGCAGCCCCAGCTCAGGTGGGCTCCTAGATCTGCATCCCTGGCTGGCATCCATGCAGCACTGCTTGCCCTGTTGGGAACAGGGCAGATCCCACAGGGCACTGCTGGCCCCGTCAGGACAGGGATGGATCCTGAGGGGAATTGCTTGCTCTGTCAGTCACTGGCTCAGCCACAAGGGGCTCTCGGCTTGCTGGGGTGACAGTGCCCACAGAGGAGCCACATGCCCTGTGTCTTCCTCTTGCACAATGCCTCATGCTATCCCTGGGTGCCAGGGCCTGTGAGTGAGGAACTTGGGGCCTGGAGCAGCTCTGCTGAGCGCTGCCATGGCTGGGTGCTGAATTTGCCACCCTGTCCCTTCCCCAGCCAGTGGCTACTGCCCGAGCATGGCAGGGCTGCAGATCCTGCGGCAGCCACGGCCGTGCCGCCTGGCCGAGGGGGACACGCTGGCACTGGAGTGCAGAGCCATCGGCAACCCCCCGCCCCAGTACCAGTGGTTCAGGAACCGACGTCCTGTGGAGGGGGCTCAGGCACCTCAGCTCCAGGTATAGTGGGACCCCTGGCACAGCACAGTGTTGGCACGGTGTGGCACAGTGTGGCACAGTGCAGTGTGGTCCGACACACCGCCCCAGGCTCCCGCTCTGTCCCACTGGCAGGTGAAGCTGGTGACAACGGCCGAGCGGGGCAGCTACTGCTGCCGAGTGTTCAACCTCTTCCACGAGGTGTGGAGCCAGGAGGTAGATGTGGAGATCGGTGAGGGCCCCGGACAAACCTCTGTGACTCTCTCTCTCTGTGGGGTGTCCTGACCCTGCCCTGCTCCCTGTTAAGCCCTCATGGCTGCTCTGCAGTTTTGGGGGGCTGCAGCCCATGCTGGGAGGTGCTGCCATGTGTAGGATCCCTGACCCTCCCTTTGCCACAGGCCCACGGCTCTTCACCTCTGGAGGTTCCTGGCAGGAAGGGGATGGAGGTAGGTGTGGGCAGAAAGGGCAGGTCCATGCTGCTCTGCCCACCACGCTCCCCTGGCACTGGAGGGCCCTGGCATGGTGTTTCTCTCTTCCCAGGCTCCACAGAGTGTGGCAATCCTGGCCAGTTGTACGGTAAGAGCCTGCCCAGGAGGGGGTGGTGGCCCTGGGTGTCTCTGACTGTCCCCAGTGTCACCACTGTCACCCCAGGAGGCTTTGCTTGGCCAGGGGTTCTTTGGGTGCAGCGCACTGGGAGAGCAAAACAGCACCCCAGCCTTAACCAGGAGAGTGGATCAGCACTCTAACTCCCAACCCAAATCCCTAACTCCAACCTCCAACCCTACCCCCACGGTTCAGGGATCAGCGAGGCAGGGACACCACAGGGCACTTCAATACCCAGGGACAGTGATGCTGGCCACAGTTGGGTGTCAACTCTGTGGGCTGAATGGAGGTGGGGACAGCAGAAGCATCCCACCCCCTTCTCAAGACCTCCCTCTCCCACCCTTGCAGCCACGGACAAAGTGGCGCTGCTGATCGGCAACATGCACTACCTGCACCACAAGCAGCTGCAGGCGCCCATGGTGGACGTTCATGCCCTCAGTGCCCTCCTCCGCCAGCTCGACTTCAAGGTGGTCTCGCTGCTGGACCTGTGCAAGGCTGAGATGCAGATGGCTGTCAACGAGTTCCTCCTCCTCCTCGACAAGGGCGTCTACGGTGGGACAGCACCCGCCAGTGCAGCTCCAGCCTGGGGGAACCGGGGGGTTCTGTGCTGGTGGAGGGACTGAGCAAGAAGGAGGGTGCTGGCAGGTCCAGGGATGTCACCATGTCACCTGCCCTCCATTCCCCCTGGCAGGTTTGCTCTACTACGCCGGGCACGGCTATGAAAATTTTGGCAACAGCTTCATGGTGCCCATCGACGCGCCCAGTGCCTACACGTCGGCGCACTGCCTGTGCGTGCAGAGGGTGCTGCGGGCGATGCAGGAGCGCCGCACCGGCCTCAACACCTTCCTGCTCGACATGTGCCGCAAGAGGTGACCCAGCCCTGCCACCCCCCCAGGGACACACTGCTCAGGGACATCCCAGCACAGGGACCCGTGGGTGCTGGCTCCTGAGGGAGCGGTGCAGGGCACCCCTGGGGTCCCGTCTAAACACCCCAGAACATCACTGCGCCTCTGAGCTGGCAAACACCACGATGGGTGGGCAGAGGGGCACAGGGCAGCCCCTGGGCTCCGAGGTGCCTTGGGGTGGGCTTTGGAGGGGGGTAGTTCCTGGCTCTACCCAGCATCATTCTCTTGCAGGAACCTCAATGACGATGTCATCCCGCAGGTCGGGGCGCTGGAGGTCACGGCCAATATCGTCTTTGGCTACGCCACGTGGGTCCCTCCCGCCATCTCCCCAGTGTGGGCAGCGGGGCTGAGTCTCCCTTCCTGGCTCAGAGTGGGGCAGAGGCTCAGCCCCCCTGCCTGTGTCTCTCCCCCCTCCTTGTATCCCTCCGCTCAATGCTGGAGGTGCTAGGCAAACAGTAGCCATGGTAGGCAAATAGGGCAGGAAGGTGTCCATGGCACTGCTCAGCTTTGGGCAGCCCCTGAGGGCATGAAGCCCTGAGGCTCCTCTGGAGCACAGGGATTTGGGCTGGTGAGGCTTTAAGCATCCAGGATCCAGCCATGGCTCCCACCTGTCCCTGGCATGGTGGCCAGATGGTGAGATGGGAACAGGAGCCAGAGGTGCCCAGCTCTGGCTTCCCCAGAACTGTCGTCCTGTTGGGGGCCTGTTCCTGGGGAAGTGCCAGAGCCCACGATGCAGCCGACTGCTGCCCCATCCCTGCAGGTGTGCAGATGCTGAAGCCTATGAGCTGAGCCAGGGCGAGCTCTCCAACGGCATCTTCGTCACCTTCCTCAAGCGCTGGCTGCTGGAGGACGAGAAGATCACGGTGCTGCTGGACAAGGTGGCCGAGGGTGAGTGGGGAGTCGTGGGGGACAGTGATCCCCCCAGTGGCCCCTGCTGACCCCCTGTGCCACGGCAGACATGGGCACGCTGGAGATCACACGGGGCCGGCAGGCGCTGGAGCTTCGCAGCAACCTCTCGGAGAGACGAGCTCTGACGGACCCCATCTGCGCCCCGGGCCGGGATGAGACCTCTGCCAGGAACTTGCAGTGGGCCAAGGCTCATGGTGAGTCACAGCCACCCCGTCCAGAGCTGGCACCTGCAGCAGGGACAGCCCAAGGTGCAGGGAGAGGCTGCAGGCAGCACCCGCCAGGTTCCTCCCAGCTGGAGGAGAAGCTGGCACAGAACCACCAGCCTGGAGGCAGGACCACCATGTCAGCATCCCTGCTCTGGGGTGACCCAACTGTCTCCTCACCTGTGGGTACAGCTCCAGCCCAGAGCCCCTGCAGGTCCCAGCCCTGCTGTCCCTGTCCCCTCCCCAGTGCTGCCGGAGAGCCGGCACCTCCGCTTCGACTGCGGCGTCACCGTCCAGCTGGGCTTCGCTGCCGAGTTCTCCAACATCATGATCATCTACACGCGCGTGGTGGCCGCTCCCACGGACATCACCAAGTGTGAGGCCAGGCTCACTGACATCCCTGAGGTGGGATGGGGCTGCCAAAGCCACACCAGAGTGGTTGCTGGGGAACGGGGCTGGGGCACTCGTGGTGGTTTCCATGTGGATGCCGCCCCTGGCAGGAGCTGGACGTGGACCTCAAGTGCACCAACAAGGAGAGCCCGGAGGAGGTGGGCAGCCCCCTGGCACCTGTCTGGAGCCTCAGCTGCCCCTCCTGCTGCCTCTACAGCCGGATCTGTGGCTTGCAGAAGCTGCGGGTAAGGGGCAGGGGCCGGTGTCAGGGGCATAATGTGGCCATGGCTGTGCCAGGACACGTGCCCACGGTGCCGGTGCCCCTGCAGCAGGAGCTGGCCTTCACCGTGTGCCTGCAGTACCGCTACCGGGGCATGGACGACTTTGTGGAGGAGCGGCAGCGGGTGAGCGTGGGGCGGCCGCTCATCGCCAAGCTCAACCTGCAGCGGGCGGCCTCGCCCTCCCCACCCCGCAGCCCCCTCTCCTCCTCCCCCCCCGAGAGCTGGGGGGCAACAGGCAGCTCGTGGGTCAACACCCCTGAGGAGAACCTGAGCCCTGACGTCCCCAGCTCCCACACCCTGTAGAGGGACAGCGCGGCCCCCCCTTGTCACCGCAGTTCCCTGGAGCCACATCTGTCCTGCTGGGGGGCTGGGGATGGAGGGGGCAGGGGGGACGTGCACAGAGGTGGGTGTTGGGAGGGGCTGAGCCCTGGCTGTGCCAGGGGGTGTGGGGCTCGCAGTGCAGCACAGCTGGGACTGCTGGCCCCAGCCCCACATCCCCTGGCATGGCAGTGCCAGCCCCATGTCCCTGGGTATGGCAGTGCTGACCCCAAATCCTTGGACAGTGCCAGCCCCACAGTGCCAGGCCACCAGCGGGCAGCCCCGGGGGCAGAGTGCCCAGAGCCCACGGCTCAGTGAGCGCAAGGCGTCGCACTGGGGCAGGGCTGGGTTCGTTCAGGCCTGGGAGAAATAGAGAGAAATAAGCAGCTTAGGGGGCAAATCCCACGGGAGGGGATTAGAGGGAGGGGGGAGCAGGAGGGCTCCTGCTCTGCCACGAGGGACGGGGAGCACCCCCCAGAGCTGCCTGTAGCACTTAGTCCCCCCAGGAAACCCCAGGCACCAGCCCCATCTTGACAGTGAGTGATTTCAGGACAGGATTGGGATCTAAGGGGGGAAAAAATGCCATTTTGCTTGGATTTTTCCCAAACGCAGCCCCACATACCGTGGCGGGCTCCAGTGGGTCTCCACCAGGAAGAACACCAATAAAAGTGGGCTGGGCAGGAGGCTCGGCGCTCCTGCCCCTGCCTTGCTTCGAAATGGCATTTTTGGGGTCAGAAATCTTGCCTGTTCCTGCAGGAGGTGCGGAGCAGCCACTGGGCGCACCCACGGGAGGGCACGCGGGGTACCAGGCGAAGGAACCCCGCCACCGTGTGCCGGGCACACCGGTGCCACCTCATGCAGATTAGCTCATTTAAATAACTCACGCAGCCCCCCAACCCCGAGGAGCCGGGGAGGCGCATCCTCATCCCGGGGCCCCTCCGCGCCCTAGCTCTCGGGTGGCGGTTGCGGGGCCGGGCTGGGGGAGCACCCTCGCCCCAATTAGGCTCCGATCAAACGAGCCGGGGGTGCGGCGCTCCCGCTCCCCGCGCCAGCCGGCCTTTGTTGGCGCTCGGGAGGCCGAGGGGTGCCCCGGGCTGGCGCCAGCCTCGGCAATTATGTCATGTGAAAAGCGCAGCCCCCATTGAGCGCGTCCCGTCCCCCGGATCAAACCCCATTACTTCCGCAGCCGTTGCTTCATTATCTGCCGGCCGGAGCCCGGCTCTGCCGGGGCGCTTCACCCCATTAGCTGGGCTGGGGGGCCGGGGAGCATCGATTATGCGTTTAATGGGTTGTTAAAGGTTTAATTGTCGCTAACGAAACAGACGAGCAGCAGCAGCCGGGGGACGGGGCACAAGGAAAAGGGTCTCGCCGGGGTCAGTGCCTCGCCTGGCCCGCTGGCATCCCGGCCAGACCCGCCTGACCCCGGGGCTCTGGGGACGTCACAGTCCGGCCCCGGGGGTCTTGGATCGGGTGAGACCCCCGGGAGGTGGTGAGAGGGACGGCGGGCGGGCGCGCTGGCACCGAGCGGGGTCTGGGACACGGGGACACGGCGGGGACGGGGCTGCCCCAGCACAGCCCCGGCTGGTGGCTGCCGTCGGGTCCGAAGCAGGAAGATTTCTAGGGAAACATCTTGTTTCAGTGTGGGGAAGGAAAAGGTTGGCCCTCGTCTGGCTTCCCCAGGGACCCAGGTGCTCCTGCTCACCCAGGGCTGAGCCCACCTCTCTCGCTGTCCCAGCTGGGCTTCAGCACCTCAAAGCCACTGTGGGCTCAGCCGTGTGCTGGGGGCCTGCTGGCCCTTGCTGCCAGTGAGGTGACACAGCCTTGAGCTGTGGTGGGTGGGAAGGCAGGGTCCCCCTGGAGCCACAAAGCCACGCTGGGGCCCCCTGGGGAAGTGGCACCTTGTCACCACCACCAGCTCCCATCTGGCAGGAGCCGCTGACGGGGGGTAAGGTTGGCACACCCTGACATCCCTGCTGCAGAGACCCCAGAGCTCCCAGCTGGCCCCCTCCCCTCGCCAGCCCTGGCCATGGGCCACAGGGGTCCCACTGCCACCCATCCTCCCACCAGCACAATTCTGGCAGCTCTGTGCCACTGGCACCTCTGGGGAGTGTTGGGGCAGGGGGGTGGTGGGCACAGCCCCCAAGGGATGGTCGAGAAGGTGACCTGTGATGAGCCATCGAGGCCACAGTGCAGCCAAGCCGGTCCTAGCCCAGAACCAGGGCTGGACTGAGTCACCCACCCCTGGACCCAGCCCTGCACATGGCATCCCAAGGGAGCGGGGCAGGAGGGTGCCCAGGGATGGTGCTCCCGTGCCCTCCAATAAAATTCCTTCCCAGCAGAGGCTTGACAGCCCCGCTGTGCTAACGAGGGCACAGTGCCCAACTCCAGCATGCGGCAGCCGTTCATCTTATCTCTTTACTCACGATACAACCGTCCTCTCAGTGCCAGTGCATCACCCAGCACGATCAGCACCGTGCCCCAATGCAGCTAAAACGTCCCCCCAAGTACTCCCTACGAAACTAGAGCTTTTCTGTTCAGTTTTGTTTAAATCTGCAGCATTAAAAAAAAATTAATAATAACAGGAAGGGGAAGGGGTGTGAGGAAAGGAGGTGTCCGACCAGGGGGTGGTGCATGGCCTGGTGGCACGGTTGGATGCCTGAGCCTTGGCCAGATCCTCAGCCAGTGCTGGTGCCACAGTGAGGCAAACGGGCTCCCCCAGGGTGCTCCCCTGCAGCGGGGTCCTGCCAGCACCTGACTGGCTCCCCTGCCACTGCCAGTGCTGGCTCGGCGGGGGAAGACACAGCCTGGCATCCCTGCCCAGCACCGGCTTTGGTCCTGCTGAGCACCCACTGTCCTCCCTCACCTGCCCCAGGGCTGAGCCGGCACCGGGGCCCAGAGCCGGGGCCGGGGGGGCCGGAGGGGCCAGAGGGGAACGTTCATCAAATGGGCTGCCAGGTCTTGTCGATGGTCTGAATGTGCTCCTTGGCTTTCATGCGGAGCGAGGCGATGCTGGAGCTCCTCTGGTCCACCTCCTCCAGCGGGTACTTGTCCACAAAGGGGGTGCCACACTGGTAGGGCGCGGGGGCCATGGGCTGCATGCCCTGGGCCATCGGTGCGGGGGCGTTGAGGAAGGAGTGCCCGCCGTAGGGGGGCTGCAGGGCCTGGGGGGCTCCCATGAAGCCGGGGATGCTGTGGACTGTGGTGGCGCTGGAGATGGGGGATGTCAGCCACGGGTCGAGCGGGAGGGAGTTGCTCATGGGCCCCACGTTGGGGGTCATGGGGGGCCGGTTGAAGGAGAGCACGGGGGTGTCGTGGAGCTTCATGGAGCTGGCCTCCATCTTCTCCTGCCGCCTCCACTTGGCTCGTCGGTTCTGGAACCAGACCTGCGAGGTGAGAGCCAGGGTGAGCTCCACCGTGCCCAGCCGGTCCCTTGCAGTGTGCCCCACATGCTGTACCCCATGCTCTGCCCCACAGGGAGTGCTTCAGTGTCATATATGGGGTATCCCATTGCACACGGGCTGCCCTCCAGGGCTCTGGCAATCCCAGCACACCACACACCTCTGCCAAAGCTCTCCCACAAGCCCCAGAGACCAAGGACGTCTCTGAGGTACAGAAAGCAAGAGGTGTCAGCGCACAGCCCCTACTCTCCCTGCTCCATGGAAATGTGCACCCTGCTCCTGCAGCCCTCGGGGCAGTGTTATCTGACCTTCCAACCCCTGGGTCAAAGCTTCTAGATGTTAAAATGCCATAGTTACACCAAAATCCAGCAGGAATGACAGGGACCAGTGAGCCAAGTCCAGCAGTGACATCTGGCCCTGTGGGAACAGCTCATTGGAGTGCTGGTCCCCATGTCCCCAGAGCAGCACAGGGCACAGGGTCTGCTGTGAGAGGCAAAGGGGGAGGAAAGATGAATAGCTGGGTGGGGATGGGGCACAAGTCTGATGAGGAGCAGCTGAGGGAGCTGGGGGAGCTCAGCCTGGAGAAAAGGAGGCTCAGGAGGGACCTTCTCACTCTCCACAACTCCCTGACAGGAGGGTGGAGCCAGATGGAGGTCGAGCTCTGCTCTCAGGGAACAAGTGACAGGACAAGAGGAAATGGCCTCAAGCTGTGCCAAGAGAGTTTTAGATTGGATATTAGGAGAAACTTATTCCCCAAAAGTGTTGTCCAGGCCTGGCACGGGGTGACCAGGGCAGTGGTGGAGTCACCAGCCCTGGAGGGATTTAAAAGCCATGTGGATCTGGCTCTTGGGGACATGGGTTAGTGGTGGCCTTGGCCGTGCTGGAGGAACAGTTGGGCTCGATGGTCTTAGAGGGCTTTTCCAACCTCAGTGATTCTGTGATTCTATGAAACTGGTCATTGCTCAGAGAGCTCAGCAGAGGTGTCCTTATAGTCTGGACCCCCCAAAAAAAAGGCTGCCTTGTCTCAGACTGGGGCTGAGGCCTGGGGATCTCAGTTCGTCTATGCAGGGGTCACTGCTTTGCTTTGCAGGGGTTTTGTCTCCTTCAGCACACTGGCCCTTTCCCTCTCCCTGATCTCACCATGTCAGTCTAGGGATGGTGGGGACTGCACTGGTGGAACCCTGGGCTCTTCCCAGGCCGTGCTGTTCCCCCATGAGCCTTTTCCTGCAGCCCAGGGAGCAAAACCTCCCCAGCCCCACTGCCCCCCTCCTGCTCCAACAAGCTTATAACCCCCAAATCTGTGAGGATCTTGTGCTTTCCCAGCCTGAAAGACCTGGGAGTGGCCTCAATCAGCCAAGGTTTGGCTGCTTTCCCACGTGAACAGCAGGAGGGATGGGAGCAGCCCCCACCAGAAGGGGAAAAAACAATCTCTAAAAACCATCTCCCTGCCCAAACGGAGGCTGTGGCCTGTGGGCCAAACTGGGACCCCACAGGCCAAACTGGGACCCCCATGGGGGAAACAGGCTCAGCCATTAAACCCTTTCCCTGGCTTTGTCAGGAGCAGCTCTGCAGAGGTTGCTGCACCCACCTCGAGCAGTGGGGAAACTGAGGCCCGGAGGGAGGTGGCGGCGGTGGAGCCGAGAGCGGAGCAGGGCTCTCCAGCACCGGGGGGTCCCTCTGACCCGGCCCAGGGACAGGCCCGGGGTGCTGGGGCCACGGGTGCCCTCCCTACCTGCACGCGGACCTCTGGCAGGTTGACCTTCATGGCCAGCTCCTCGCGGCTGTACACGTCGGGGTAGTGGGACTTCTCGAAGGCGCGTTCCAGCTCGTGCAGCTGGTACGTGGTGAACGTGGTGCGGTTCCGCCGGTGCTTCTTCTTGGGCTGCTCCTCCTCGGCGGAGGCGGGCGGGGTGCCCTCGCTGTCCCCCGGCTTCCGCAGCTCGCCCAGGTCCCCCTCGCACTTATTCAGGAACATGGTGGCACCTGCGGGGGAACCGCGGGGGTCAGTGGGGCTGGGGGCTGTCGGACCCCCCCGCGGACCCCCGGGACGGGGACAGATGGACAAGTGGACGGAGGGACGGGAGGGTGGGGCGGCCCCAGGAACAGGTTATGCAAAGGAATAATCCTCTCTGACACTGCGTTATCCCAGGGCTGTGGTGTCCTGGGGACTGACCCAGGGTCCTGCAGATGGACACCCCGGGCACCCTGCACTTGGCTCTGCTCTCAGGTGCCACCAGACCAACGCATCTGTCGGTGCTGAAAGTCAAATTTCCCCTAAAGTAGAGGATTTTATGAAAGAACCATGATTAAGAGCTAACCTGACCTCCCCCTGTCCCGCCCTGGAGGAGACCAAGTCCCTCCTTCCAGACCAGCTCCTCTCCTCCAGCCTCTCCCATGGGGAAAGCTGGCCCTGGAGCGCTGGAGGACCCAGCGTCAGTCCCCAGGCACTGCAGGAGTGACCCGGCGCCGTCCCCCGGCTAATAACCGTTTTGGTGACGCTTATAAGCATTTTCAACCCTTGCAACGTTTCATCTTTAAGCTTTTTATCCGGCATCTGAAATCTTCCTGCAGTATTTGCTGGGGATTAAGGGTCTCTTTCCACCGTGAGGATGTCGGCAGACATGGAAATGGGACGGAAAGCTGTAATCCTGGGGCAAGGGGAAGGAGCTGCATCGTCCTGACCCGCCGGGAAAGACCTGGTTGATGCCCGAATGGGAGTGGGGAGGGAAAAGGAGCATCAGTTCGTGCTGGGAGGGTGTAAATAGGGGTCCCAGAGGGCGGCGGGCAGGGGGTGGGTGCTGGGTGTTGCTCAGGCTGGGCACATGCGGGGTGTCTGTGTGGGGAGTGCCCGTGTGAGCAGTGTGACCACAGTGTGTCCGTGCCTGTGCCGGGGTGGGTGTGGGGTGTGACCCACCCACAGGGTGAGTGTGGGGTGCTCAGGGGTGCTTGGAGCGAGGGGCAGGTGTGAGAGGGTGTGTGTTTGGTGGGCTGAGCGTGGGAGGGAACGTGTGAAGCACGTGCCCGGTGTGGGTGTGCCCGTGCGGGGCTGGGTGTGCGTGCAGGGTGGTTTGTGCTACGTGCTGCCCCGTGCAGTGCCAGGGGCAGTGCCCTCGTGCTGTGCACGCAGCACACACGGAACGGGGTCTGCACGGGCAGGACACGGGGCACAGTGTGTGTGTGTGCACGGGAGGGCAGGGCGTGAGGGGTGTGTGGGGTGTGCACAGCGAGTGGGCACAGGAGCTGTGGGCAAATAGTGAGTGTGCGGTGAGTGTGCAGTGAGTGTGCAGTGAGTGTGCGGTGAGTGTGCAGTGAGTGTGCGGTGAGTGTGCGGTGAGTGTGCAGTGAGTGTGCAGTGAGTGTGCAGTGCATGCTGCATGTGCAGGGTGTGCAGAGTGTGAGCAGTGTGGGCAGTGTGAGCAGTGTGTGTGCAATCTGTGCAGTGGGTGTGCAGCCTGTGCCATGGCTATGACAGTGTGTGTGCAGTGTGTGTGTGTTCAGTGTGTGCCATGGCTATGACAGTGTGTGTGCAGTGTGTGTGCAGTCTGTGTGCAGTCTGTGCAGTGTGTGTGCAGTGTATGTGCAGTGTGTGTGCAGAGTGTGTGCAGTGTGTGCAGTGTGTGCAGTGTGTGCAGTGCAGGTTATTTGCAGTGTGTGTTGCACACCCAGCATGTGCCACATGCACACACACACACACACACACACACACAGACACACACACAGCCTGGGTGCAGCGTGGGTGGTGCATGTGCAGTGTGAGTGCAGCACAGCAGGTGTGCCTTTAGAGCCCCGCCAGATGCCCCACAGCCCCTCGTGGGGTGTCTGTACCCTGGGGGATCCACCCAGCTCTGGCTCTGGCCCTGGCCCCGCAGTCTCAGGGTGCCCCAGGGGAGCTGCTAATCAGGGTGGGGGTTCTGGGTGCTGCACCCTGGGGTGCCCCAAGGCAGGGCTGAGGGGGTGCTGGGGGGAGCAGGGACCCTGCGGTCACTGTGTGAGTGTTGGGGTGTGTTCTGGGTCTGGGGACACAGGGGGGGACGGGGTCCCCCACTGCCATCCCGCTCTCACTCACCCGCTTCTCATTTGCGCAGCTCCACACCTGTAAGGGAAGGAGAGAGAGGGGGTGAGCACCCAGAGCCCCCAAAACACCCCCTGCCTGGGGCACAGACCCCCTGAGGGACACAGCACCCATCAGAACACCCTGTCTGCCCTGCCCAGCCAGGTCCCATGGGACAATGGGGGTGGAGCTGGGGCTGGATGGGGGCTGAGAGGAGTTGGGGCAATGGGAATGGGTGAGATGGGCATGGAGGGGATGGGTGAGAGAGTCTGGAGGGGCTGGGGACAACATGGGGCAAGTGGGAGGAGAGAAGAGGTGGGGGATGGTGGGGGGACAGGGACAAAGTGCAGGGGTGGAGATCAGAGCAGGGCTGGGGGCAGCCCCATGGTGCCCACATCCCGACCCCATTGGAAAGCATAAGAGGCCAAAACTCCCCAGGGAGTGGCAAACCCCATCCTGGGAGCAGGAATGAGCCAAGAACAGCAAAATAATGGAGCAGGAGTGACCTGGCAGCGGGGCAGCAGCACTGGACCCTGCGAGGTGGGGGGTGAGGGCTGGACCCCCCACCCCAATCTGCCTCGGCCTGGCCAGGGGCACAGAAGTCCCTGGGTGGGGAAGGGGGTCCCTGACAGGGTTGGACTGGGGGTGTCAGCACCAACCACCCTGTGTTCCCCATCCTCCAGGGACTGACCTCGGGAGCCCCAGGCCTTCACCGCCAGTGTTTTGGGAATCCTGCCTGAAAATGAGCCCTGCTGAGCTGGGTCAGGGGGAGCTGCTGGACTGCCAGCTCCCAAAGGACATCCTCGTGCAGCCCCTGTCATCCTGGCAGCAGTTTTTGGGTTTAAGCCCTTAAGCTGTAAAACTGTGCTGGGAACCAGAAGGACCCGACACCTCCGGAGGGCTCTTCCCCCCATCTCCTCAATGCCCCAACCCGTGGTTTTCCTGTGGGGGCTGCCAGCCAGGGGGAGGGGACAGCTGCTGTTACAGACACCCAAAAAGGCAACAGAAACTACATCGAGCCCTGGTCGAAGTGGGTAAAAAACTCACTTCCTCAGTACTGCAAAACAGCAGAGCATCAGCAAGGACAAGTGGCCTTCCCTGGCAGCAGGGATACGGAAGACACAGCCCCAGGACAGCCCCAGCTTCCACTGGGACCCCTTTCCTTGCCTTTGGGAGCCCATCTGGGTGCCAGGATTTGGCTCCCTGGGCTCAGGCTGCCTGGCACGGGTGGTGGGAGCGTGGGTGGCTCCTGCCCCTGGCCCCACGTAAATCGGGGCGAGTGACGCTGACTGGTGCCTGCACCCTCTCCCAAGCCCCCAGGGAAGGGTGCCAGCCCCCTCCCCAACCCCGGGCACACCCTGGGGACACCCACTCCCTTCCTCAGCATCCTCCCTTGGCGCTTCATCCCGAATTGGAATAAAACGGCGTTACCTGCTGGGCCCAACTCGGCTTTTCCAGGAGTATTTAACTTTGCCAGTCCCTCCCGGGAACCAAACAAGCGGCTCAACCTCACCAATCTCGCAGCTTTGGCCGCCAAAGTTGCCTCTAGTCTTCTTATTTGTCACAGAACCGCCGTGCTAAGGCTCGGGAGAATCTTTATTTAGTGTTGCAGATGTCACCAAGGCACCGCAGATTGGAAATGAGTCCAAAGGATTAAGACGAGGTTATTAATTGGAGGCCTTCCCCTTTAAGAATGATTGACAGTTACTTTCTGGACAAGTAATTGCTCTAAATGTCCCCCCAGCACGGGTCCGGGGGGGCAGCGGCGGACAAAGCCCCGAACTGCCTTCCCCACTCGGATTGTCTCCCCACAAAGGCGTCCTGCTGGAGTTTGCCGTGTAATCCCCTCATTACGGGCGAGGAGAAAGAATTAGAAACAGGGGGAGCGGAGAAGAAAGGATGGAGGGGGAGGGGGTAGGATTTCCTTGGGCTGCGGAGGCGCTGCCCCAGGGATGGGGTCCGGGGCAGCGCCCCAAGCCCCGGTGGGATGGGGATGATGCCGTGGTGGGTGTTGTCCCCCCCGGCTGGGGAGGGTGAGGCTGAGGGTGGCCCTGTGGTGGTGTGGGTGGCCCCACAGCTCCCAGTGATGCTGCCTGTGGAGCCCTGCCCATATGGGGAGCAGGGATGGGGATGGGTCTGGGGACGGGGTGAGGATGAGTCGTGGGGTCCAGCTGTGAGGACCCAGTGCAGGGACATGGTCTGGGGACCTGCTCTGGGGTCTGGGTGTGGGCCCAGGTGTGGGGACCTGGTGTAGGGACCAGCCATAGGGACCAGGACCCCTGAACAGCCTTGGGGACCTGGTATGGACACCAGGCAGGGGGAACACTCATGGGGACCAGAGCAGGGGACCAGGCAGGGAGAGGAATTGTGGGTGGCAGCCATGGGGGGCAGCCATGGGGCAGTGCCCGTGGAACCAGACGTGGGGATGATTCATGGACACAGAACTGAGTACCATGGGGACACCCTGTGGGGACTGACTGTGGGATGGAGCTATGGGGACCATCCCTGGGAGCTGTCCATGGGCCCTGGCCATGGGGGTGTGGGGGAAAGGCAGCCAGGCTGAGGGCTGATCATCATCTCTCTCCTCCCCGCTCCCGCTGCTGCCCCTGGACTCCAATGGATGATGGGAACATCATGGTGGAGGTTCTGGGGTTCTCCAGGGATGATGTATTTGGCGCTGCCCAGAACCTCCATCCTGTGGGGCAGATTTTGCCCTTTTCTTTCTTCACTCGCTTTTACTTTCTCCCAAAAACCTCTTCCTGCCACCTGTGACTGCCACGGCCCCCAGCCACGTCTCGTCTTCCTCCCACTCCCTTCCCCTCCCCACCACAGTTCCCCTTTCCGATGGCAAACGTCACTGTGGGGGTTTTGGACCCCAGCACCCTGTGCTGGGTGGCTGCTGGCCCAACACAGGTCTGAACCCTCTTGCTGGGGCTGCTGCTGGCAGGGCCCCACAGCCCCCTCTGCATCCTGGTTTGGGCCCCAAGGCCACCTCGTTGTCCCCCGTTGGGGCTGTGCAGCTTCACCTGCCCTGTCTGACACTGCTCCGGTGTGATGCTGCCTTTAGGATGCCACTCCCCTGGGGACAGTGTGCCACCACCCCAGGGACAGGCTGGCACTGCGCCAGGGACAGCAAGGCCCCATACAAGGAGTCCAGGGGGGCCACGGGGATGGGGTGACACCCCCACACCATACAGAGCTGCCAGGGGGTGCAGGGGAGTGCAGGGAGGTGCTGCCTCTGGGGGGTTTGGGGACATCCCCCAGCTCATGGATGACGTGTGGGGCTGGGGCTGCAAACGGGCACCTGGACCCCACTGGCCCGGGTGCCCACAGTGGCCACTGTGAGGAGTGCAGGAGCCGTGTCTCCTACACTGGTGGCCCTCATGAGCTTCCCCCAGGGTGCCTCCCAGTCCGGGGGGTGCAGTGAGGTGCCAGGGTGCTGGTTTTGGGGACGGGGGGCTGCCCAGTTGCCCGGCCCCGGCGCTGTGGCCCGCGGTGTTTGCCGTGCCGGCCCCGCGGCCGCCGTAAGGTGTTGGCTTGCCCGGGGGGAGGCAGCAGGCTGATTTGCCAAATGATTATAATTGCCTTTTAGGAGCAGATAGCAAATTGATTTGCTTCCTCGTCCAAGGCCCGTAATCGCTTCATCACTTTAAAATATTAATGCTATACTTCTTTGCTAGTTTCCCAATTACCCTAATTGAAGGCAAATTGGTTAAGAAGGTGCAATGCAGAGTATCAGGGGGTTTAGTTCACTCAAATGACAGTTTTAAACCTCCCTAATCCTATTAGCGCGCAAAGCTGCTAACGCTTAGAGACGCTGCGTCAGCTTACCGGGGCGGTGGGGCCGGAGGCGGGGGTCGGGCCGGGGGGCGACCGGGGGCCACCGGCCTCACGTGACCAGCTCGGCCGGGGATTTATCACTTTTTTAGTTCATTAAGAGGCCTTGGGCAGGCGGGGAGGCAGCAGGGGTGACCCAAAAGGGTGCTGAGCGGGAGGCAGGTGGCAGCGTGGGGAGGGCGGGGGGGCAGGACGATTAGCCAAGGAGACCTGGCGGAGGGTCCTGACCCGAATCCCAGCTGGCGCTGGGAGTCCCCACACAGCCCCACTGGGAGCACTGGGAGAGGGCTGCCCACCAGGTCAGGATGGGGCCCTGGTGTGGAGTGGAGATGGAGGACTGTGGTGACAGAGTGCGCTGGGGACCTCAGTGCCACCATCCCAGCAGCTGGCACTCGGTGTGGAGCCCAGCCCTGGGGAGCGCAGGGATGTGGGGTGGGAACGGTGTTGTGCTGGGTACTGCAGCTGCTGCCACCCTGTCAGGGCCCTGGGGGGGATTGGTGGGGCACCGATGGCCCCATCCCACGTAATACAGGTGGCTTTGTCCCCAGAGGGAGATTTTAAAAGTTCTGAAGTAAGGCTGGAAGCATCAGCAGTGATGGCAGGGATTGTGGGGACAGCAGGGCCACCAATCATGGGGAGGCTCCCTGGTGCCAGGCCCTGACGAGCCCGTGCCACGCTCCCTGGGATGCTCCAGCAGCCACCAGCCCCTGGACTGGTACCTGGAGGGGTGGGTGCCCAAGGGGAACTGGGCACCTCCCGCATCCAGGGACCTCCTTGCTCCACGTGCTCCATCCAGGGTGGCCCAGCCGGGAGCGTCTCGTGACAGCTCCGTGGCACAGCTCCCATCCCACCCGCGCCGGATTCGGTCTCCCCCTCCCAGCCCGGCCACCAGGGCCGTGGGCAGCCCTGGCAGGGCCGTCCCCGCAGGCCTTTCCGGAGCAGATGGCTGCGGCGTGGGGAGGACGGAGGCGGCTCAGCGCGTCCTTCCTTTCATGCACACACAGCGTGACTCCCGGAGGCTCCGGCTCCGGCGGGAGGTGTCGTTGGGGCCAGCGCTGCCCGTACATTTTACACGGGTTCAGATAGCTTAGTCCTCGGGGACAGGCGACTCAGGAAGATTAGACCTCGCTAAAATAGGCAGGTATTAGTGATCTCAGCAGCCCCCGGCCTTCCGGCACGGCCGGCATTTAAGCCAGTGCTGCTGCCGAGTGGCCAGGAGTGAGCCCCTGGAGCGGTAAGAGGCAGAGGGGCACCCTGGCCCTGTCGAAGGGAACCCCCCGCTGCCTGCACCGGCAGGGGATGCTCGAGTGGGGGGGGGGACGGGCTGACACATCCCCTGGCAGTGCTGCCTGCAAGGGATGCCCCAGGGGGCACTGGGTGCCACTGACTCGTGTGCTTGGGGCTGCTGCAGGAGATGGGGACCGATCCAGCAGCCAAGTGTCCCGGGCTGCCTGGTGGCTCAGGGGACACGGAGCAGCCCTCCTGCAGTGCTGTCATCATGTCGTCCCCCCACCCAGGACAGGATACACCAAGAAGACCAGACTGGTGCCAGAAAATACCACATTTATTGAGCCGAATGGTGTGCAAGGCACCAGGGCTGGTGTTGGGGGTGACAGAGCGTCAGGGACCTGCCCCGTCTGGGGGCTCACACCAGGGGCACCACGGGAGGGGCTTGGTCATCGTGGTTTCAGGGGACCCAGGCATCCTGCACCCCAGCACCCACCCAGTGCACTGGGAAAGCAGTTGGGAATGATTTTGGGGAGGAAAACACCCAGCATCTGTATTGGGACCCCCATCACCAGGAAACAGCAGCCACAGCCTCAGCACTCCGTGGCTCCCGGGGAGCAGAGGGGGGCGGGGGCTGCCGGTGTCACCCAGGGTGGGCAGCGATGCTACATCAGGGAGCACTTCTCCTTCACCTGGTCCACGCCGCCCAGCGCGCGGTCCCTCAGAGCCGGCAGTTCCACCTCCCGCAGCTTCGCCAGGAAGGCGAAGGCCCCGGCGCCGCCTTCCTCCTCATCCTCCTCCTCCTCGCCCCGCACCATCGCGGCCAATTCCTGCGGCAGCTCCACCGCCCCGCCGGCCACGTGCATCTGCGCTTCGTCCCGTTCGTCCTGCACGGGGTGGGACAGGGAGTCGGGACGGGCCGACCCGCTGCCAACCGGCCGCGGGACAGGGGACAGGGGACAGGGGACAGGGGACAGGGGACAGCCAGGCCCGGGGTGCTGGGGCCGCTGGAGGATGCCCGGACTGTCCGATGCCAGAGTGCCGGACGGACAGCGGGCGGTGGATGGTCAGAGGGAGACAGTGGCCGTCTGCTGCCCTCTTCAGGAATCCCTCCCGTCCCGGGGAGCCCGGCAGCCGCGGGTCTGGGAGTGTCCCGGGGGACGGAGGGTCGGGGGGAGCTCCCAGGTCCCACTGCAGACAGAACGACCCAGGTTCTCACCTGGGTCAGGTGGTACTTGTCCCGCAGGTGCATCCGCACAGTGGCCCGCTCCGCCTTCCTCTGCGCAAACGCCTTGTCCCGCTCGATCCTGCAGCCGGTGCCACACGGTCACCCTCACCCCACTGAGCCCTGCCAGAGCCTTCCAGCACGACTATGGTCTTCTGGCCGCAGCAGGTGCCACACCATCACCCCCAGCCCACTGAGCCACCCCAGCAGGGCTCCCCCGACATCACCCCCGTCCTCCTGCAGCAGCAGGTCCGGGGCAGGAGGGAGGAAATGGTCTGAGATCCACAGGAGAGTTGCAATGGGGACCTGGGGGCAGGGGCCACATCCTGCCCATCCAACCCCAGCACCCAGCAGAGGTGCTTGGTGAAGGTGCCCGTTGCTCCTCCCGCAGCCTCTCAGCTCCCTGGTGCTGAGGCACTGGATCCCCACAGCACTCGGTCCAGGGAAGTGGGACCTTAATCCAGTCTCGTGCTGCCCCCCACGTCCCTTGGCTCCAGGGTGCTGGACTGACACCAGATACCCACCCAGGGCCACTGACACCTGGAGGCTCCCCTTGTCACCTATAGTGCACCAAGCCCCCTGCCAGCACCCACAGGGACCTCCCGAGCTGTGGGAGAGAGGCACCAAAGGGCACCTGCTCTGCCCTGTCCCTTGCCCTGGCAGCCTCCCTGTCCCTGTCGTGTGCCACCCTGGGGACAACCCATGGCGGGTGGGATCCTGGTCTTGGTGTTTGGGGGACCCCAGTGACCTCCCCAGCCTTACTTCTCCTCCAGCAGCTGCCGCTGGTACTCCTCAAACTCCTCGCGGGCCATCCCGCTGGGCAGCGCGGTTGCCTTGTCCTCCCTCGGGGGGCCCTTGGGCAGCTCCTCTTTGCCCCCCTGGAAGCTCTTCAGGGCAGCCGTGAAGAAGGAGGCCATGGTGGGCAGCGGTGGCAGCTTGTGCCCCACGGTGCCCACCGGGTTCCTGCACCTGCAAGGTCAGCGGGACCGGCCCCAGGGGCACCGCGGATCAGGGCCGGATTAAGGCATTAGGAGGGGAAGCCACAGCCATCGGGGTGGACAGACCTTCCTGTGCTGCCCGCTGCACCCGGGGGTTCTCGTGGAAGACAGTGGCAGTGTGTGGGGACAGCAGGTGCTGCCTCATCGGGGCGATGGGCAGGTGGAAGGAGCCACTGAGCCCCAGCACACCCTGGGTCTGGGGGGTCCCAGTGGGGGCAGTACCCACAGGGCCAAGTCATGGGAGGAACCTTAGGCCGTGGGCACCCAGAGCCACCCACACAGTGGGGTCGGAGGTGCAAGAAATCAGCACAGAGGAGACACAAGAGGATTAGCTGAAAAAACCCACTCGAGGGTCAAAGCACTGGCAGCAGACGAGGCGGCGACGGGCACACACCCACCCGTGCCCCCACTAATCCCTGCTCACCCAGACCCGAGATTGCTCGGGAGCCTGCAGGGCCAGGGGCTCCCTGCTGCTGGGGACGTGCCCTGTGCCTGCAATCTATACCCAAGCAATTCCCATAGAGCCTCTGATTAAAATCATAATCCCCCGCCTTGCAGAGCCCTGAGGGGAGAGGGGCTGGACTGCGTGGGGGGCTCTGAGAGCCAGAGCTCCCGGCCCCCCCAAAAGCTTTTTGCTGGGCTTTGCTGGGCCCTGATGAAAGGATAGGCCTAATTTCAGCCCAGAGGCTTAAAGATGATGTTGAACTAATTTCTTTGGTTTAATCAAAAAGCCCAAATCCGTGTGGTTTAGCTGGCTGTGCTGGCATCCCCATGCTGGGCCAGGAGGCTGGAGCAGGACTGGGGTTGGGGTTTCATCCTCCAGTGAGTGGAGATGTCCAGTCTCATCTCCCATCCCTGGGATTTGTAGCTCGAAGGGACCCCATGTGCAGCAACCACTACTGGGGCTGAGCACAGGGGGTGTTTGGGGCATGGCCCCCATGCGGGCTGCAATCCCCACCCCTATGGGTCAGGAGAGATTGATCCCACGGGAACCTTCTCTGGGCTGTGTGGTGGGAAGAAGGACTGTTCCAGGGTGGAGGGAGGCTGTTGCCTTGTTGTTGGGTGTCCCAGGGGAGATGAGACCCCTCCCAGCTGCTGCCCCATCTCCACTGGGCAAGAGTGGCACTATAGGCCACTCCACTCCTGGCCCCCACTGCCATGCCACTCCCAACCCCAGTGGGTCTGGGGGGCTTCAGGTCCTGGGCCCTGGTAGCAGGACAGGGGTTAAACGTCCCTCAGGTGCTTCAGCTCCTTTTGCAGCTTCTCTGTGAGTTTCTTGAAGGACGGGCGCTTGCCTGGCTCCATCTCCCAGCAGCTCTTCATCAGGGCATAGACGGTGGGCGGGCAGCCCTCGGGGGGGTCCATGCGGTACCCCTGCTCCAGCAGCTCTGTCACCTCCTTCAGGGTCTGGCAGGATGGAGAAGCTGGCTGGGACCCCCTGCCCTGCCCTGGCCAGGGGACAGTGGGATGTCCCCATCCCATTGGTGCCAGCGGGGCGTGACCTGTGGGTGTCCCCTGGCACAGCACTCACCATCTTGGGGTAAGGTGCCCGTCCGAAGGAGAAGGTTTCCCACAGGAGGATCCCGTAGCTCCACACATCCGACTTGGAGGAGAATTTCTGTGGTGGGAGGAAGGGAAGAGGCTGAGCCAGTCAGGGGCTGTGTTGGGTCCCCACTGTTTCCCAAGGGCAGGACAGGGGACAGTGCCTGCCCCTTGCTGCCCCAGCTCCCCAGGGTGTGACCACCCCCCCGTTCCTGTCATCCTGCCAGATCCCACTGGAGCTGCCCCAGTTCCTGCTACACCCCAGGGCAAGGGTTGGTCAGGACAGAAGCAGAATTGTGGGAAATGCAGAGCTGACTGTGTCAGAAGCCACTGTGAGGCAGGGATGGGTTGGCAAGTGGGGGAAGGAGCAGGGAGGACCTAAGAGGGTGAGATGTCTTGGAAGGACCCTGTGGCCCCCCTTCCTTCCCCCTGTTGCTCACGTTGTGCTTCAGGGCCTCTGGCGCCGTCCACTTCACAGGGAGCAACGTGGTGTCCGTGCCCTTGGGGTTGACCTGGGCCAAGCCAAAGTCACTCACTTTGGCCACGTTCTCCTCGGAGATGAGGATGTTGCGGGCAGCCAGGTCCCGGTGCACCAGCTTCTTGGACTCCAGGTAGTCCATGCCCTGAGCCACATCCCTGCCACAGCCGAGTGAGACAGAGCCATGTCCCCGGGCTTGTCCTGAGGGATGCAGAGGAGTCCCCAGCCCAGAGGGAGGGAGATGGACTTACAGGGCGAAAAGGAGGAGCTGCTGGGTCGGGACGAGTGCCCGGCCCCGCGTGCGCAGGAAGTTCACCAGGTTGCCCTGACAGGGGAGGATAAATGAATAAGGACCAACTGGATGGGGCTGCTGGGAGACTTTGCCTCCTGCAGAGGCTGCAGTGCCCAGCATCCATATGATTCAGCCCCTAAACAGGGGGCTCAAATTTGTCCCCAGATCTGAGCAGTGATGGGTCCCGCTGGTTGAAGAGCAGCCGGGTCCTCTCACCTTGCTCATGAACTCCATGACAATGTAGAGCCCGTTGTGCAGGATCACGCCCAGCAAGCACACCAGGTTTCTGTGCTGGACCTTCCTGGAATGGAGAGGATCCAAGTCAAGGTGTTGCCTCGTCCCCAGGCCATGGGGCAGGGCTGGGTCATACAACAGTGGGGCTCTCACGTCATGGCAGCCGTTTCAGCGAGGAAGGCCTGGGCGGTCACATCGCACTTGATGTTCTTCACAGCCACCTTCTGCCCCATGTACTCGCCCTGCAGGACATCTGGGAGGGGATGGGGGATCAGGTTGAGCCCCACACCTGACCTTCTGCACCCCTGGCTGAGCCCCTCATGCCGTGGAATGGGGAGGGGTGTCAGGGAGTGCCATCTGGGGAAACTCAAAGCCAGGGACCCTCCAACCCCATCCTCTCACCTACCTCCAAACTCGCCTTTCCCGATGCAGTCTCCCAGTGTGAGGTGCTTCAGGTTCAGTAACCACCCAGCTGGGCACAGGCACAAGGGCAGGTTAGCAGGGACCACCAGTGGGGCCATGTTGCCTTGTCCCCAAAACTTGGACTATGATCCTCCCCCACCATCCCCTACCTTTGGCCAACTCCTTCTCAGCCGACTTCATCCCTGTTTTTGGCTTGGGCTTCACCAGCTTGGTGCAGATGGCTCCCTGCTCCTTCATGTAGTGCTGCCAAGAGATGAACAGATGGAGGTGATGCCAGCTCTTACCCTCATGCTCGGGGTGTGAATCCAGGGAACAGCTCTGGGATGGTCCATGGGACCCCACCACCACCACCCTCAAGGGCCCTAAAGCCCCTTTGGCTCAGGCAGTGTGGAACACTGTGTTTCTCCCAGCCCTGTGATTTGCAGCCCATGTCTCAGCCCTGCTCCCCCCTGGGCACAGCCACAGGAACACCAGGATGGACCACAGGGGATATGGGAAGCTACAGGTGGGGATGAACCTCCAGTGGGTGCTGCAGCAGCCGAGGGCAGTTTGCAGAAACAAAGGGAGCAGAAGCAGTGGGGTGGGATGGGACAGGACAGGACGGGATGGCCTTTGCAGTTTCAGAGCATGGCTGGGGCACCTGAGAGGGCAAAGGACCCACTCAAAAGCAGAAGTTGTGCCTAAATGACGAAAAATGAGAGTGCAACCCCCTAGAGAGAAGGGCAGAAGCTCTGAGATAGGGTGAAGATGGACCTCAAGCAAGAACTTGGTGGAGGGGTAAGAGCTCAAGTGACAGCCTGAGAACCTGTGGGGTCAGCAGCTGAGAGGGTAGAGAGACATGTTAAAATGCCTCAAAGTCCATGGGAGGCAGAGGCCATCAGAGTCTTCCTGCTGTGTGAAGCACTGAATAAGCAGGGATGGGGAGAATGTGGTCCTTTGGCAGGGGATTGGGGCTGCAGCTGGCATGGCTGGTTTGCAGAGACATCACCTTGGGCATCCTGGATCTGCCCATTGCACCCCAAACCGAGTGAGAACCAGGAGCCTTTGACAGGGATGGAGAATTACACCAGGCAACAAAGACCAACGGAAGCCACGCAGAGCAGGACAGCGATCTGCCACGAATGTGTGTGACCCCACGAGGTTCTTGCCCTCATCTGGCACTGGTGGGACTCCCTGCCCAGGGATGGGGAGTCTCACCTCGATCATGTCGATGAGGTTGGAGAAGTACTGCTGGCTGTCGATGCTGAGCGTGTTCCCCTCGTGCACCACGCGGTAGTGGATCACCTCCCTGCCGAAGCTCACGCACAGCACGTAGTCCCCGGGGTGCCGCACAGACTCACGCACCAGGAACAGCCCGTCCTCGGGGGGCTGCAGCTCCTGCACCGCCTCCACCCCCGAGATCTTCCCGTGGAACCAGCTGAGGGAAGGGCCGTTGGGGAGGGGGGCTGTGCCACGGGGCTCTCCCCAGGGCCAGCAGCGAGGTAAGAGACAGCAGAGCCCCTGCCAAGGCTACGCAGACCCCACCGCATGAAACCCCTCTCCATGACATCCATCCAGGATGGGTGGGCACAACTAGGGGTCTTTAAAGCCAGGTACTGGCCCCAGCAAATCCCTCCATTGCCAGAGCATGACTGAGGGCTGCTCTGCCCCCAGCTGCCCCCCCAAAACCTGGATGGGGGGAAACATGCTGGACTCATCTGCTGTTGCAGCTCCCGGGGGCTCAGTTGGGCCCCCCAGACACACCCCCCCAGCTGTACTCACGGCATGAGGCTGAGTTTGGGGTCCACGCGGATGGCACCGCGCTCCCGCAGCGCACTGGCCGCCAGCAGCCCCTCCTGCCCTGTCTCGTTGTGTCTGGCATGGTACCAGCCTTTGCCCTGGGGGAGAGAGGGTCTCAGAGCAAAGGAAGGAAGGGGGGATCCCACTGGAAGCGGGGGACTGGCTCTGGCAGCTCAGCTGATGGCACTGTGGTCCCATTCCTGAATTTGAGGGATAGACCACTTGGTGAATAAGGAACTGGGAGGATGGTCACACTACAAGAGTTGTCATCAATGGCTTGATGTCCGAGTATGTGACAAATGGTGTTCCTGAGGGATTGGTATTGGGACTAGCACTGTTCAGCATCTCTGGCAGCGACATGAACAGTGAGATTGAGTGCATCCTCAGCCAGTTTGACAATGTCACCAGGCTGTGTGGTGCAGCTGACACACTGGAGGGAAGGGATAACACTGAGGGACCTTGACAGGCTTGAGAGGTGGGTCTGTGCAAACTGCATGAAGTTCAACAAGGCCAAGTGCGAGATCTTGCACCTGGGTCAGGGCAATCCCAAGCACAAATACAGGTTGGGAGGAAAATGGATTGAGAACAGCCCTGAAGAGAAGGACTTGAGGGTGTTGGTGGATGAGAAGTTTGACATGATGCAGAAATGTCCCCAGGACAGTGTGTCCCCGAGCACCCATCGGTCTCACCTCCACGGCCTCGATGATGGTGACCACATCTCCCTTGTGGAAGGCGAGCTCCCGGGGCTTGGGCTTGGTGTGGTCATGCTTGGTGACACACTGGGTCCCGGGGGGCCAGTGCTTCTGCAAAGGGATAGCAGTGTCAGCAGGGACAGCGAGAGCTGGACCCCCCTGCCTCCCACAGCCACCAGGGCCAGCCCCAAGGACCATCTGAAACCCTGGCTGAGGACCAGGGGCACTGGGCACTAGCCCTCCTGACCCCATGGTCCTGGGGGCAGATGTCACCCCAGTGTCAGCAGGACCTGCTGGTGCCCACGTGCAGCCCCACTCACCCCAGACATGGCCAACCGTCCACGCATCAGGGACTCCCCGTCCTCTCCTGCTGCCACCTGCAGAAGAAACCAGAGGGCTGTGGAGGGATGGGGCTGAGCTGGCCCATCCCAGGCCACCACCGCTGTTCCACAGGCTCCTCTGGCCAGTGCAGCCCCCGTCTGTCACACAGCCCTGCAGCACAGGGTGCAGGAAAGGCTCAGAGCAGGCTGCAAACCCTGCCCGTGCCAGCTGTGTCCCAGGGACACTCCTGTCCCACACACAGGAGGGAGCAGGACCCAGCTCTCCTGCTCTCTGCTACTGGCACGACAGGAGCCCAGCACTGCAGCTGTGGGGGAAGCAATGCAGTTTTAGCAGGAACTTGCTCTTTCACCTCCTCTTTCAGGACCTCCAAGTCATCAGGGCCATGAGAGGGGCTGGCTGTGACCCTGCAGATGTGGGATGCAGCAGGCTTGTGTGGGGGCTGCCCTCCACAGCGGGGACACTGACAGGCCAGGCTGGGCTCAGGTGGGACTGTCACACCCACTGACTGTGGGAGGATTGCACAAGGTCCCTGTGTTCCTCGTGCTACCAGCTGGTCACGCTGGGGTGCATGTGACAGCTCTGCAATTCAAAATTGTGGGTCTTCTCCTCCTGGAGTCTGTCATCACCAGTGTCACCTCCTTGGGAAGATCACAGACTCCCAGAATGGTTTGGGTTGGAAGGGACCTCAAAGCTCATCTTGTTTCCAAACACCCTGCCATGGGCAGGGACACCTTCCACTAGACCAGGTTGCTCCAAGCCCCGTCCAATTTGAACACTTCCAGGGATGGGGCAGCCACAGCTGCTCTGGGAAACCTGGGACAGCCCCTCACAGCCAAGAATTTCTTCCCAATATCCCATCTAACCCTGCCTTCTGGCAATGGGAAGCCATTCCCTGTGTTCTGTCCCTCCATCCCTTGTCCCCAGTCCCTCTCCAGCTCTCCTGGAGCCCCTTTAGGCCCCAAAAGGGGCTCTCAGCTCTCCCTGGAGCCTTCTCTCCTCCAGGTGAACCCCCCCCAGCTCTCCCAACCTGGCTCCAGAGCAGAGGAGCTCCAGCCCTTGGAGCATCTCCGTGGCCTCCTCTGGACTCTCTCCAGAAGCTCCACGACCTCTTGATGTTGGTGCCTGGAGGCAGCTCTGCAGGTGGATCTCATCTGAGTGGGGCAGAGGATCAGAATCCCCCCTCACCTGCTGCCCACGCTGTGAGATGAGCTCCTTGGAGCAGAGATGACTTTTCTCTGTTCCTCTTATGGAGGGTGAATCATGGTCACCCCTCTGCATCACCAGTGGTGAACTCATCCCTGTGACAATGCGGCTCTGAGGTCTGTCTGACTGACTGTGCCAGCCCCTACCCACAACAACAACACAGGGGCAATTGCAGCTGCTACAGGTTAATATTAGAAGGCAGCAGTTCTGACTGTACCAGAAGCCACCATCAGCCAGCACTGCCACCTCCTCACCCTGTAGCCCCCCCATGGTACAGATATCATCTTGGTGAAGTCAGGGATGTGAAGGCTCCATGCCTTGTTCCCCAGCAGGCACAGCTGATGTGTCTGGGTACAGCTCAGCTCACTTCCAGGAGGGTGAGGACCTTACAGGCACAGAGGTTCAGAACAGGGTCCTCTCTATACCCCTCACCATGGTACATCCTGCTCCAGGGAGGGACCTGAGCCAGGAGGGCTGATGGCAGCTCTGACAGTTGGTCCTTCATTTCCTGCTTCTCCAGTACAGAAGTTTCTGGTGAAAAGCAGTAACTGTTTGCTCAGTCTTGCCCCTGTGTGCAGACAGGGGCTTGGGGTGCTGGACACGCACCACACATGGACACTGCAGCTGGCAGAGCCTGGAGAGCAGCCAGTGCCTCACCCAGGCAGGGACACCAGTGAATCACCTCCCCCCTGGTGACACTTGTCCTAAAGCAGTTGTATGTTCCTGGAGGTGTTTGATTGATGAGGTTCTCATCACTGGAATAAGTGGTCCCACAAGCTGGGGGTGTGGGCAGAAAGCCCAGGAGAAGATATTTGCTCCCTTCTGTGTTTTGGGACTGTTCTGTACTTCTATTAATCGGTCAGCCTGAGCATTTGCAAAGAGGATAAGACGCACAGAAACGTGGTGGGGTTTGGTGGAGCCGTCCTGACCCTAAACTGGAGAGCTCAGGCTTGTTTTCAGTGCACAGAGTCCCTGGCTGAGAAGCTGCCAGACCCGACAGCACCGTGACAGGAGGGGACCCCACGCTGGGAGGCTGCACCTCTGCCCTGCCCCGGGATGGGAACCAGACACACTGTGCACCCCCCCGAAGCAGACCCCACGGAGCTGTTTCACAAACACCCGGCTGCCCCCAGTGCCACTCGGACAAAGGACAGGTACAGCTCCTCTGCTGGAAAACGGGTGACACCTGGGCATTTCCCCACTGCCCACCATGCCCTTAACACTCAACACCGTGCCCGCCCCTCCCTGTTGACAGAGGGGACACAAGGACGTGTCACCTGCTCTCAGCACCTCTCAGACCCTCGTTCTTACCTCTCACCAGTGGCCATGTGGGGCCACGGGGCAGCGATGTCTGGGATAACTCACAGCTAAGCCTGGAGTTGGATTGCTGAACTGCTGGAGGGTAGATCCTCTTTCCTATGGAGGGCCAAGCTCTGCGTTCAAGGGCAGTTCTCAGAAAGAGCCGCTGCCCAATTTCCTGATTTCTCTGCTGGGGAGGCTGCAGAGCAGCGTCACGGCCCTAGCGCCGCCCGTGCCCTCAAACCTCCATCACAGATGACTCATTATTTGTCAACACTTAGAGCAACTTTCTGCCCTTTGAGAGCACATGCACACACCCCTGCTGGAAGGGAGCTGGAGCTCTCCAGATCCTGCCCCCTGTGGCACTGTGCGGCACTCACAGAGCTCACGATCCCTTCTGCACACAGGGACAGTCGCTCTCACCACTGGTGGCTTGGCCAGAGCAGCGACCACAGAGTGAGTGCCCATGGTGGCTGAGACTCAGGAGAGGAAGAGCTGGGACCAGGGATTCCCAAGTCTAATCCTGTCTCAGCATGGACTTCTGTGAGCCCCAGGGGAGGCTGATCCAAGAGCAGAAGGTAATAACTCAGATGCATCTCGGGCTGGGATGGGCAGTGGCAGAGAGACCTTTAACTGAGCTCCACTGCCAAAGGGCAGCAGCTTATCTGTGTCCTCCAGCATCCGCAGCCCCCTCCACAGCTCATCATGCCAGCCAGAAAACCAGACACCACTTCTGCACTGATGTTCAGCATTTCCGGTATTCTGAGCAAGATGGCGAAAAAGAAGAGACACCAGACTTCATCCAGGGGTCTTGGGGTTTTTTTGGGGTGTACTTTTTTGTTTTGTTTTTAATACAATGGTGTTTAAGCCTCCAGAAAACGCTGTGGCAACTCAAGGGCAAGGCAGTGTAGAAGAAAACTAATCCAAACTAGCCAGTGCTTTCAGCTCCATGCCTTTCCATCTACAAACAACTTGCCCAAGCCATTGACACCAGTCTGTCCACAGGATTCTTGGGACAGGTTTCCCCAGGAGCACTCCTTGCATTATCCCCTGTATTTCTAGGGATGGATCCTTAGATACTTGGTCTGTTTAGGCTGGAGAATAAACACACAAGTTCCCCCTTATGGCCCTGCTGCACTCACAGGGTCTGTGCAGGAATCCCTGTGACAAACGTTTCCTACTTCTGGGTTTTGCCACATCCGGTTGTTGTCACAGACGTGACCACAGGCCAGAGAACTTGGCATCACACAGATGGAACAACCTGCTCAGACATAATAAATGGGCTTTCCCTGTCCTGCTGCATGGCCAGCAGAGATTCCCAGTTGCTTCTGCGGGAGCTGGCATTCTGGGATTCTGTGATGGATCCATGTAATCACCTATGGAAGCGCTGAAATACATCCCTCTGCAAATACATATTTTTGTATGGCTCATGACCTTCATCCCAGAATATTTAAACAGAACCTGCTTAACACCCCCCAGAAATGTACTTAAAGAAGAAACAGCTTCATTTGACAATAGGCAACACAGAAATAATGTTCTTCAGTAAGTTTTAAAAAGCCGCTCAAAATACTCCAAAAAGCCTCAAGGAATGTGAAGAGGGATTTGAAAATGAACTTTAAAGGAAAAATCCCAGAATCCCAGAATGGTTTGGATTGGAAGAGATTTTAAAGATTATCTTGTTTCCAACCTCCCCTGCCATGGGCAGGGACACCTTCCACCAGCCCAGGTTGCTCCAAGCCCTGTCCAACCTGGCCTTGGACACTTCCAGGGATGGGGCAGCCACAGCTGCTCTGGGCAACCTGTGCCAGGGCCTCACCACCCTCCCAGGGAAAAATTTCTCCCCAATATCCCATCTAACCCTGCCCTGTGCCAGTGGGAAGCCATTCCCTGTGTCCTGTCCCTCCAGGCCCTTGTCTGAAGTCCCTCTCCAGCTCTCCTGGAGGCCCTGGAAGGAGCTCGAAGGTGTCCCCAGAGCCTTCTCTTCTCCAGGCTGAACATCCCCAGCTCTCCCAGCCTTCAACATACACACAAAGCTGAAGCCTGTGGCAATTCCCTCACTGACTGGCAGCGTCTCACACCACAGCCAAAGTGTTCTGCTCTGCTTCTCTCCTCTGCACTCTTTCCATGTACTCGTGGCAGCACCAAAGCCACGTTACAGCCGGGCCTTCACACATTTGCTTGGTCAAATTTGCTCAAAAACACCAAAAAGGAAGTGGGTCCTTCACATCACTGCTCCCAAACAGCACCCCCAAGCACAGGATCCCTGCTCCACAGGGTGGAGGATAAACCCCAAACCCATACAACAAAAGGGGGCAGTTTCAGGCACTTCAGGCCAGGCCAGAAACTGCCCCCAGTCTGAGAGCAGAAATCTAAAATTATAAAGAAAATGTGTAAAGAACACACGTGATACTGAGGGGAGGGATTTATTTCTTTTTTTTTTCTTTAATATATCTGTCTACCTGTTTTACTGTGGAAAGAGTTTCTTCTGGAGCAAGGAGTGGGAGGGGAAGGAGACACAACAGAAGGGAAGGAACTGTTGCTACAGGCAACTTGACTCTTACACAACGGTGCAATTTCTGTAGTGATTATGGAATCACAGAATCCCAGAACTGCTGAGGTTGGAAAGGGCCTCCAAGATCATCAAGTCCAACCATCAGCCCAGCACCACCACCGTGTTCACCACTAACCCCTGTCCCCAAGTGCCACATCCACACTATGTCTGAACACTGCCAGGGATGGTGACTCCACCACTGCCCTGGGCAGCTGTGCCAGTGCCTGACAACCCTTTCTGTGAAGAAATTTGCCCTAATATCCAACTTAAACCTCCCCTGGCACAACTTGAGGCCATCCCCTCTTGCCTTGTCACTTGTTACCTGGGAGAACAGACCGAGCCACACCTGGTTCCACCCTCCTAAATTGTACAATTTTGGAAAATTATAGCACAATAAAACTACCTACAGTGCATTATTTAAGGACAAGTTATTTTAAATGTAAGATATCAGACTAACCCAGGACCTCTTTATAGGATAAATTAGAATCATAAGAACATTATTTCATGCACACACTGTCATTATTAGGCAGCATCTTCTTTTTTGTCCTTCTTCCCACCTCCTTCACCCTCTGCTCTTCTACCTTCTCTCGTCTCTTTTTATTGTGTGTATTGGAAGATCCCAAGTCCCCTGTCTATGTTTCATTTGTTTATTTGTTTGTTTTTCTCTAAGGCACCACTTTTAAAACATGCCAGGAGAAGGAGGAGATAAAATGGTAACAACTTGACTGAAATGAAGGCAGCTTTGTGAAGGGAACATACAGAAATCTGCAGTTCCTCCCACACACACCAGGGAAGGTGGCATTTAAAATTATTTAGAATATCATCACCACCACTACACCATACACAGAAATTAAGCTTATATTGCAAACCTTCACCTAAAGCTAAGGTAGCCAGCTCCTTGGAAAATACAAAATCAAGAATTTGGTGTTCAAGTTGAAGCCTTCATAATCAACCTTCTGCCCTGAGCCACAGAGGTTTCAGGCAAGACTGGTGACAGCAATTTTAATTTATTCTCATACTGGATTCTCTTTCATCATATTTAACTTGAGTAACTGTAGGATTTTGATCTTTGCTTATTCGGTATTGATCAAGAAAGTCAATGCTCTCATTGCAGAGTCAGGCAAACTGTAACTGTTAATGAGAAAGAAGTAATTATGTGTAAATGACCTTTCTTACTGCATATCAAACCAGGAGTGACTGAGCAAACAGGCTGGGAAAGAGCTTGAGTCATGCACTGCACAATTTTATGTGCTACAATAAGTTCTGTGGCTTTCCACACAGGCAATAAAAAATGGGACAGAGGAGTCAGTGGCACATAGAAACAAGGAGAATTTCATTTATAGGCAATGGGACTCTCAGTCAGTGGGATACCCCCACCTGGTGTTGTCTCTGTGATGGGAGAACCACATTAACCAGGTCTCTTCTGTCCAGGGGGTTGGGATGGATCTCAGGGAAAGGTTCTTCCCCCACAGGGTGCTGGGGCACTGCCCAGGCTCCCCAGGGCAGTGGGCACGGCCCCAAGGCTGCCAGAGCTCCAGGAGCTCTGAGGGACAGGGTGGGATTGTTGGGGTGTCTGTGCAGGGCCAGGGGTTGGACTCAATGATCCTTGTGGATCCCTTCCAGCTCAGGGTTTTTATGATTCTAAGATTCACTCACTTTGATGAATCTCTTCATTTAAATCTTAGCAACATCAACTCAATTGCTGGTGTTACTAATGATAGAAATATAATAATAAATAAAATGCAAACAACATCTCTCAGTAGATTAAAAGCATTAATTGCAGTACTGCTCTGCTGGGAACATTCACCAAACTGGTATTAAATGCCCTTCTCTACCTGGGCGTGGGCTGTGACATCATTTCATTAAAGATTCACAGAATCCCAGAGTGGTTTGGGTTGGGAGGGTCCTTAAAGCTCACCTCATCCCACCCCCTGCCATGGGCAGGGACACCTTCCACTAGACCAGGTGGCTCCAAGCCCTGTCCAACCTGGCCTGGGACACTTCCAGGGATGGGGCAGCCACAGCTGCTCTGGGCAACCTGTGCCAGGGCCTCACCACCCTCACAGAGAAGAATTTCTCCTTCTATAGTAAAGAGTTCCTGGCAACTCAGAGTCTCTAAAGCATCCAACTTACCTTCCTAACAGGGATCTTGCAGTCCAGGTTCATCTGACAATGCAAAAGAGGAGAAAGAAAACACATCACAAAAACAAATATATTGCAGTCAGGTTTTTAACAGCAAACAAAGCAGGTAAAGAATTAAAAATAAAGTTTAAAAACCATTTAAGTAATTCTGGAATCTTGCTTTACCTGAAGTAAGAAAATGTGACAAGCTGATCGAGCTTAGATCATTAGAGCCTCCAGAATGAGCCCACAGTTATAGAATCTGAGACTTCCCTTAAAAGCTTTTCTATAAATAACGACTGTGAGTGTTCCGAAAAGCAATTTGTGAGCTTCATAGAAGTCAAGTGGGAGTGCCTGGGGCTGGAAATACAGCTCTGACAAATCCACAGAATCTCAGAATCCCAGAATGGTTTAGGTTGGAAGGGACCTTAAAAGATCATTTCGTTCCACCCCCTGCCACGGGCAGGGACACCTTCCACAAGCCCCGTCCAACCTGGCCTTGGACACTTCCAGGGATGGGGCAGCCAAGCTGCTCTGGGCAACCTGTGCCAGGGGTTCACCACTCTCACAGGGAAGGATTTCTTCCCAATCTCCCATCTAACCCTGCCCTGTGTCAGTGGGAAGCCATTCTCTATGTCCTGTCCCTCCAGGCCCTTGTCCCAAGTCCCTCTCCAGCTCTCCTGGAGGCCCTGGAAGAGGCTTGAAGGTCTCCTCGGATTCTTCTTTTAAAGCCTTGTCTACAAAAAGTCCCATTGTCTCTGGAGTGTCATGTTAGAAGTGAAAAACCAAACAAACCTGCTCTACCTTTAACCAAATCTCACTGCTTATCTGCACATTTGCCCATCCTTGGGATTCTGCCTTGGAGTTTGCAGCACTTTGAAATTAATTTCTAGATTGCCTTCTCACAAGTTGTCAAACCACCAGGAATGTACCCACTTCTGTGGTAATTTTTATCACATAAATAGTCAAGTATGAAATTATCTTTGCTCTTTTACCATCAAACCAGACACACACCCCCAACAAAACAACCCTGTGACCTGATCTTGGTGGCAGAGCTTCCTGGGGGTGAACGCCAAGTGAATGAGTTCAGAGCTTCTTTCTAAAAATGTGAAAGATCTCAGACAACTGAGTGCACACAGGATTTTGCAGCTGCTGGGTAATCTCCTTAAGGGCAGTAATCATACAAGAAATTCCCCCTCACAAGCACACAAAGAGCTGAATATATCACCTCTGTCATTTAGACTGAGTCCTCGGGGGATGCTTCTGTTGTTCACTTCCATTTTCCCACCACTCACCTGCTGCACTTTGATGGCAGGAGGAGAAGTTTATTCCCCATCTCCTGTCACGTTGTTGTTTTTTTTTGTTGTAGGATTCTGGCACTACTCTCTGAATACTAAACACAAACCCATTGCAGCTGCACTCAGAGCTTACAGTCGGATATTTTATCCGTCACCGTTTCCAGTCTGGAACACAAAGCATGTCCTTCAGGATAACTACTCATGGCAGTAACAGCAGGGATTTCTCACCAGAATGTACTTTCTCAAGGTGCATGTCCTTATTCCTTATAACAGTTGGGTAATGTCCCTCAGCTATTTTCAAAGCTCCCACCCACGTTACACCGAGATTTAGGACAGGAAGGAAACACAACATCCACTGAAGCTGCAAAGGGGTCTAGAGAGAGGCAACTGAAAACCCTGCAGAGAGATTTAACTGGGACACGAGTCACTCACAAAGAGTGGCCAGGTCTGTCACCACGATGGACATGTCTGAATTTTAAAGCTCATGGGGAGCAGCAATCATCTAGCAAATAAATTCCTACAGCAGGTCTTTTTTTTGAGTCCATAGTGCACTCAAGCACGTTCCCTTCAAGATTATCACCCCTTCCTGGTACAAATCAATCACCTGCCTCCTTTATCACGGGCGTTTTCCAGGCATAAATAATACTTGCACTTGGTTTTTTTCTTCTTTTTATCTGCTTTTGCTTGTAGTGAGAATGGGAAGAACAAAATCTGATTTCACTGGAAATGCTTTATCTGAACATGTAATTTAAATTCAAATCTTCATTTACAATTTCATAACTAAAAGCAAAGTAACATTCTCAGGAATTCACTAAGTAATAGCAATGGAAATAATCTCAATGCCTTCATTGCCTGTCACAGCATTGAAAACAGTATTTACTCACAGGAAAAAAATCCTGACTAATACAAATCCCTGCATGCAAGCCTGTAAGTGTGTATTTGAAAAATCAGAGCAAGGTAATTATGCAGGAAATAAACCAGCATGGAGTAAGTTCAACAGCTAGATCAAGTATGTAGAAAAAATAATGTTGCAAAAAAGTTAAAAATCCTCATGATTGTGTCTGAAATCAAAAGCCTCCCACAGCAATTTATCTGCAAGGAAAGTGTCAACCTCTCCCACACAGTCATGTCAAACAGGCTCTTTACCCAGCAGCCCTCCAGGTATATTTTCAAAGACAGTTGTAGCTCTGCTTCTGGTTTTGTCACCTTCTCTCCACAAGTTTGCTGCTTCTTTCCTCTATTTTAGCAGTCTGTGAATGAAGAAAACTGGCTCAGTAGCCCAATTCTTTACTATTTAGAAAGACATCCTTAATAGCATTTAAGTTAAAAATCCTTCATACTACTGTCAGCTGTTTGTCACCACGAAATCTTCCCCCATTTGTTCTATTCCTTGACATTAGAGCAATTATT